AGGCTGCCTTGTGAGGGAGGCGTGTAAGCAGAAGTCCTGTGGCTGCCATGAGGGCTGTGGTGAGAGACTCCCAGGTTGGATTGGATGTCTTCCGAGAGCCACATCCAACCCCAAGAAGCAAGATTCTTGTATTTGTGAGAGAAAGTGAACTCCTCATGGGTGAGCACAGGTCTGCATGTGCATCTTCTATGGCCCTAGCTTGCCCAAGGATTTCCTTAGAGCTAGGTGGGTCCTAAGAGAACATTGCAATAATATATTTAAGTCAGTGTGCAAGTAAGAAGTGAATGCAGAAGGTAGGATTGTGTGTCTCTGGTCTAGAGAGGAAATAGATCAGGAAAGGAACTGCATTAGTTCTTATTTTATAAGCAGAGAAACTGAGGCCTAGCCTGGCACAGGGCATTGCTTATCTTGTCAGTGGCCAATCTGAGCCTATGGTCTCCCAGCCCCATCTAGTCAGAAGGTTTTGTTAGTCTAAATAGGTTCTGTGTGACTTTTTTGTGATTGCACCCTGCTCCAGGCCTTGGACACTGAGACTGGAGGCTTGGAGATGGACTTGAGGTGTGGAATGGGATGGAGGGAGGAGTTTGTCTTCAGAAAGGTTTGGGAGTATGTCTGCAGTCTCTAAGATTTGACTGTTCTAAAGTGGACACCAGGTGGCACTCCTGTCACAAGCCTGTGCTGGTTTAGGCTGCCGGGCTGTCCCCATCATCCATGAGTGTCCTGATTTGGGAGGAGAAAGAGTCTGTATCTTCTCTGCCAATACCTTGTCCTCGCTGAATATTCCTCTGTGGATTTTTACCTTTCTGGTCTCATTTAACTTTGCTGGCCAGACTTAGATTCTAACAATTTGGGATATGGTCAATCAAATAGAAATGCCCTTGGAATGGCTAGGACAGGGATATGGTCAATCAAATAGAAATGCCCTTGGAATGGCTAGGACAGAGTAAAGATGCGGAACAACACCAAGAATGCTGATGGTGGAGCTAAGCAGCTGGTAGTCATTGTGAGAAACTCCATTCCCTGTGAGCTGAGTGGATGATCGATCGGGAGGTGGTTGGCCGGAGCTAGCTTAGGTGAAGGAAGCAGATGCTTGGGAGGAACATCCTGGCAGAGGTTTGGAGCTTTGCAAAGCACTGAGTTAAGGCTGAGGTGTGGGCCAGGGTCTGTGCAGCCTGAAGAAGTCTCTTCGCTCTCCTGGTCAGATCCACATCAGTCCGATGTTGTCTTCTGAGAACTGGGCCAGGGATAGTAGTAACTATGGCAATTGTGTCATACCTGTGAGGCAGTCACGGGTCTGCCTTCAGAATTTGACCACATACATCCTCTTTAACTTTTGAATTCTTTGCTTATATTTTAAAAACTTGGAATTTCAATAAAGACTCAAGTTTCAGCTTCTTTTGAAAAATCAGTCCATCCCAGGATGGGGGTGTGGCTCAAGTGGTAGAGTGTTTGCCTATCAAGTCCAAGGCCCTGAATTCAATCCCTAGTGCCATCAAAACGAAAAGAAAAATCAGACCACCTGTCTCTGCTGGGTATTCACCCCTGTGGTCCCCATGAGGGGCTAAGTAGCAACTGCCCTGGAACTAGTATTCCCTAGGTTGCAGCCCACTCACCTCACTCCTCCTCATGACCTCCCTTCCCCCACAATGAGGGGTTCTGATGGTGAACTATTGCTGTTGCTAGTACCAGCCTTTGGTAGACATTAAACTCTAAGACCTCACAGCAAGGTTGGGGGGGGGTGCATCTACCAGGAACTGCATGTCCTCTGAGAGGTACAAATAGTCCCAAGAATTGGAGTTCTTGGATCATTGTATCCATGAAAGAAAGTGAGAGATTGGTGCGTAACCACACGTGTGCATGTGCTCCCTCCCCACTGAATCCTTCTACCTCCACGTGCCTCTTGTGGAAAGGCTATGTGTAATGGAACCAGGGCTGAGGAAGGGATCAGAGGAAGCTTAGGGAATGGAGAAATGAATCAAGTTTAGCTCTGAAAGGTGAGAGGCTCTGGTTGGTGTGTTGGAATAGCTTCTTAGGGCCTTTGCTGCTTTCCGGCCATGAAGTTGAAGTCTACATGTATCTGCTTCCTTGATTCCCTAAGAACTCTTCTTGGGTTTGGCTGTGCTTCTGCTGCCCACAGGGCTTGTGTAGATAGAAGCTTCTGCATCATTTCCTTCTAGCCTCCTCTCCCACTCCCCCGGTTGTAGAGATATGAGAGGGGAAGGACGAAAATGTGCCTCCCCTTCAGACCTGTCAGCATTCACATCTGTTGCTTCCTCTGCTGGCCCATCTCCCATCACTGGCTGTGAGTGGGGGCTGTGCCTTGGTTCAGGCCCAAGACCCAGCCTTGGCCTCCAATGAAGCAGGCAGCCCCAGTCATTACCTACACTATTCTGACTAGGTCTCCCCATGGTGCCTGAGGCAGGAAAGTCCAGCTCCAAACACTGGCACTGGTAGCTGGTCTCTTCTATTGCCCCATCCACAGATCTGTTGCCTGTAGCTGACAAGGAGTGGGATGCCATCTGGCCCTGGCCCTCTGTATCCAGGTTGGCTGGCTTGGGAAGAAGATGGTCTTCAGTACTACTACCTCTTACCCCAACCCCCAGTCTAGGACAAAAAACCAAAAACAAACAAAAACTTTGGCATTTACCCTGGTTTCCATCTGCTGCTCTGTTGCTTGGGAGGCTGAGCCTGGCCCCTGGCCTGTCCTTCTGCCCAGCACCTGGTGGCTTGGGCCCTGTCTGAGTTCTTATGAGGATTGATTGGACCCAGACTGCAGCCATAAACAGGAGGCAGCAGGGCAAGGGTGCATCATACTGAGGGAGGGTAAGGTGTAGGCCCTATAGAGACCACCTGAGCTTCTATCCCAGCCCTACTTCTGACCAGCCAAGTGATCCCCTTTCTTTGCCTTAATTTTCCCATTTGTAAATAGGTGAATAATAGAACCTATCTCCTGGGGTTGTGAAGATTGAGTTAAAATGAGGCTGAGAAATGCACATAGCAACTACGATGTTAGCGATTGTTATTGGAGTCAGAAAACCTGGCTTCCCATCTTGGTTCCATCATTTCCCAATTGACCTCTAACAGTCCCTGTCCCTCCTCGTGCCTCAGTTTCTTCTCTAAGATGGAGCTGTGCCTTTTCCCTCAGTAGAGAAGGAACATAGGACTGGCAAGGATGATGTGGGTGGAAGTAGCTTGCACATGGGTAATGTTTTTATTTTGAACATGTTTGAATTCTTAGTTCTTAAAGGTGAGGGTAGGTGATTTCTTTCCTAATTTACCTTCACTTTTCAGAAAGGGAGACACTGGGGCTGATGACCTGTCAAGCAGATGAGGCCCTAGACTAGAAACTAAGTCATCCTTGGAAGCCAGCCATGATGGGCCAGGCCATGATGCCAGCTTTCCAGCCTCAGGCCTGAGTGCAGGCTTGGAGAGGAGCAGTGTGACCCCAACATCATGAAGCCAGTAACCTAGCCCTGAACTATTTCTAGTGACTTTTTTTTTTTTTCCACTACTGGGGATTTGGAGGCATCTTGATTTTACCTTCTTGATCTTCTAGGGGCTTCCTTTGGGGGCACTCAGGGAAAGAGAGGCAGCTAGAAGAAAAATGCTGAACGGTAAAGCTAAAATTCTACAGCAAAACTTTCCTGGCCACAAAACGGTAGAAGGGCACTGGGGCCAAGGCATCCTGCCCAGTCTTTGCTGTTGTCTGCAGTGTGTGAATCAGTCTAGGTGTGTGAGTTCTGAAGGTCAAACCTTCTGTACCGTTGCTGCCTCCTCACCTTGCCTCCTTTCAGTGCAGTACACCTCCAGTAAGCACTAGCTAAGGACTTAATGAGATGGGTGGACCCATTCATGGCTCCTCGGGACACAAACAGATGGAGAGGAGAACCTTTTACAAAGTTCAGGCAGGTGGCTCAGAGGAAAGGAGTTAATGGCAGAACTGCTTGGGCTGCCCAGATGACTTCAAGGGACTGGGCCTGGGCCCTTCCAGGGGTCACCATTGGGTCATCAGGCTGCCTGTAGTAGTTGAACCCTAGGCACCCTGTGTGGACAGACATCCCCTCAAGCTGGTCTGGTCCTGTCTACCTTGACAGGGAGTCTTGGGAGTGCAGGATGCTCCCCTCTCTTTCTACTTGGGGAAGGGGCCTTCCTAATTATATCCCCCTCTGCTCACATGGAAATGAGTTTGGATTTTCTGAGCGTACACCAGCTGGCTGGGGGGAGGCAGCCCAGAAGGCTGCTGGCTGGGGAAGGGAGGGGAAAGGAGAAGGAGAGGAGGGAGCCAGGCCAAGATAAAAAAATTCCCAGTTGGGGCTGGTGGAGTGGCTCACTGTTACAGCACCCACCCAGCAAGCGTGAGACCCTGAGTTCAAGCCCCGATACTGCATAAACAAAAACAAAAAAAAAACCGAAAAAATTCCCAGTGTTCTGGAAGGCAGAGCAATAATGGGGCGCTGCATGCTCCCCACACATCATCCACCTCTCCCCCACCCCCAGGGGAAAGCATCTTGCTCCTGCTTATAGACTTATCAGGGAGCTGTGGCCATTCAGGCAAGCTCATCCTCTGAGAACCGTGGCTCTCAGGCTACGAACCACTTAGCTGGTCATAGCGAGGTTGTCTTGTGTTAGACTAGTCTGTGCGCTCAGAGAGATCCTCCCGACTTCCTAGGCCAGTCCTTTATGGGGTGAGGGAAATGGAACTCTCTGGGGTGAGGCCCAGAGAGAGGATGGAGCCTGCTGCCAATGACAGAAGACCTCAAGTGTGACTTGTTCGCAGCCGGGTTCTCCCAGTGGAGTTGCCCGGGAGCGGGTGGCAAAGGTTCCCCTGACAGCCGGCACCGCACACGCTTTGGGCAGGCAGGAAAGCTAGAAAAGGCTGCGAGGGGGAGGGGCGGGGTGGGGTCAGGCGATTGACTCCGCCTCCTGGCGCTAGGTTTTTGCCTGCAGCCGGGAGCTGGTTCAGTCTCGGCTGCTTGCCGCTGTCGCTCCGGGGCTGCGGGATGACGCCTCCTCCTCCCGGACGTGCCGCCCCCAGCGCACCGCGCGCCCGCGTCCTCAGCCCGCCGGCTTGGTCTGGGCTCCTGCTGCGGCTGCTGCTACTGCTCTGGGCAGCCGCCGCCTCCGCCCAAGGCCACCCGAGGAGCGGACCCCGCATCTCCACTGTCTGGAAAGGTAGGCGGCGCCGCGCGGCCGGCGGGGCGCGGGATCGGACGCGGCGCGGGGCGGGTGCGAGTGTGTGGCACCCAGAGGGAGTGCGTGCGCGCAGCTCTGCGGGTCTCGGGCTGTCCCCGCAGGGAGCGTGTGGGTCTGGGTGAGTGTGTGTGAGTGTGCGTGCTGTCATGCCAGAGCCCGCTGTAACGCTGCAGCGTGCGAACGGCTGGGGCCCGAGCCCGGGCTAAGAGTCGCTCCAAGTCCGCTGGCAGCCCGGAACCGCAGCGCCAGGGCGCGGGGGGAGGGTGCGGGCCCCTCTCTCGGTCCCGAGCCTGTATGGGTCCTCCGCTGCGGGGTCTTCTACGCAGGACCCTTCCCCTGGCCAGGTTTCTCATTCCTAGCCCCCTCCTCCTGAGCTGCGAGCTCTGCTGGCGCGCGGAGCTCAGGCTGGGCCGGTGAAGGGGACGCGGACCCGTTGCCGCCGCCGTTGCGCTCCGGCTGCGGGAACAAAGACCCCGCCGCCTGCCCCCGCCCCCCGCCCCGGCCCGGAGCGCGGGCCAGGCAAGGAAGTGGGCACCCTGCGGCGAGTCGAGGCGAGGTGCAGTGTAGGGGCTTGGGCCACCTGGATGCTGTCTCCGCAGTGTCGGGACCGGCCTCTCCCCCCTTGCCCGCACGTGGTAGTTGTCACCAGAAATCGGCGCTAGCGTGGGGGGCAGTGCCCATTGGGTGGGGCGAGGCCATTGAGACCCCCCAGGCAGCGAATTTGGGGCAGGGGCGCAGCCTTTAGGCTATGGTGGATATGAAAACCTGGGGTATCAGAGTGTCCCCCAGGGGCACCTCAGTTTAGACCCCTGTACAATGGGACAGAAAGCTGCCTAGGCGAGGGTTTGAAGCTTTCTGCCGCTAGGGACCGAGCTCCCCTCTCCTGCATTGCACGTATATGCCTCCCCGCCCCCAGGCCGACTCAGCTCTGTCCCCAAATTCGGAGGCTCTGGCCCCCCTGTGGTGGTGGTGGGAGACTCACAGCAGGCCCTGGGGGTATTGGCGGATTTGTCCCTAGTGGGAGCCCTTTGATGCCTGTGGCAGTTTGCAGGGATTGGAGAAAGTCTGAGCGTTATCTGGGGCAGGTATTCTTAGCAGAGAGGGAAAAAAAAAATCCACACACAAAAAGAGTGGCCCGAACTGCCGAACTGCCGCAGCAGCTGAAGGAATGTGACTCGCCCAAGGTCACTGGGCAGCTCACTGCACTCACTGTGCAGATTGGGGCCCTGATCTGGCACGAGACCAGTGCTGGTTCAGGGTTAGGGAGAGGAGAAGAATTTAGGTAGTTCTTCCACCACAAATGAGGTGCTCTGGTCTCTAGCTCTGCTACCTAGCCAGAGGTGTTCCTGATGGCATCGGAGCAGCTGAGTTGGAGCTCTAGTTACCTGAACCCTTATTGTGGTGGACACCTGCGTATACCTCAGTTGTACCAGCTCTGGCCAGGCTTCCTCTGCCCTCCCAGCATCTTTACCTTGCCTCAGTCCCCTTGGCTATCTTGGATATCACAATGCAGGCAGGAGTACCCTGGAGGGGACAAATGGTCATGTCTGAGTGTTCTGGAATCTCCCTTTGCATCAATTTGCCTCCCCTAAAGTCTTCTCTGACCCTCTTCCCCCCACACCACCACCACATACTAAATGCACACCCACTTCTTAGCACTTAATGCATATCTTCCCATCCAGGGCACTTAGGTCTCCACCCCGAGGCTATTAAAAGCTGCTTTCAGCCCTTTTACCCACTTTCCAAAGCTCCCAACCAGCTCTAGGCCCCTTTTCCACCACTCAGAATTTACTGCTATGACCACACTAACTATGTCTTTTCCTTGGTAATGTACTATTGACCCCCACTGGCTGGGATCCACCAGCCATTCACCAGTCTTGTCCAAGGACAGTCTGTGATCTTCTTCACTAATGCCAGGTGTCCCACTGACCAGACAGACCCCACCATTCACCTGCTCCGCCCCTCCCCCCCCCACCCCCGCCCCTGGGCCACCAGCTGGTGGTAGTGTGCCTGGCTGACAGCTGCCTCCTGTCTCCTGTGGGGTGACACATGGCAGTCGAGCAGGACTGACTTTAGGTAGGTCGAAATCAGGAGGAGAGTGAGAGGAGGACCCTCCTGGGTATCAGCCCTGTCCACCAGTGGATGGGGTGCAGTGGCATCCATAAATGACTAAATCAGGGTGATGGTGGTCCCAGAGCCATTTCTGTACAAGGCATAGGTCTAGTTTTGAACCAGGACAGGTGTAGAGACTGGAATAGGTATAGAAAGTTCTTTATTTTATGCTGCTTGGACCCCAGAGCCCTCGGGAAAAATTAGAGCAGGGAGTTCTAGTAGGATTCCACCCGGCCCTTGTTGAGGGAGGTTGCTGCTTCTACAGCCCCATAAAGGGATGTGTCAGCATGAACCTGTTGGGTGTCCTTGAGCTCTGCACCTGTCTTTGACACTCAGAGCTTGCCAGAGCAGGAAGGGCTCTTGGGATGGTCCCCCCAGGTATCATTGACACATGAGTCAGTCAAAGGTGTGTATATGTGGTCCTGACCTCCCTTCAAACAGGGACAATAGGGGAGTAGGTGGCAGGTGAGGGCAGGATTTTGGCACACCAGCGTACTCTGTGTTCTCCTCCCCTGCTTCATCAATGGTTGGAGGAGATGGAGAAGCCCAGAAAGGTCCTGACCCCCAAGGTCAGAAGCGCCAGCCTCTCCACAGAGGGGAGTCTCTCCTTGCCCAGCTCTGGCCCAATTAAACAACAGGATGTTATTGTTGACTTGGTGGCTGCTAGAGAGCCATTATGAGGCCACTCCCAAGGGAGGGGGTTGTTGTCATCCCCCTCTAGGGGATGAGATCACAGCTGGGGCTCCCTATGCATCACCATTCCAGTGGAAATCCTTGCCCCCTTGGGGGATTTAGATGTATTCATCACCTTGAAGGTGAACTCCCCCTGCAGAACTGTATGGTGGTGGTGGGGGAAGGCAGTTCCCAGGAGGAAAGAGGGAGTTCCTTAGCTGGAAGAGATGCTTGGTGATGTCACCAGAAGCTTTCTACCAAGCTCTGTGATGGCTTTGTGCTGAATAGTGAAGATTCTGAGAGTAGGTGGGGGACGGGATGAATGCTGGTGCAGGTCCAAGATGACCCTGGTGTCAGGGTGAAAAGAGGTGGGAGGTCAGGAGCCTGATTCTAGTCTAATTGCTCTAGCCTAATTTGCTGTGGGACTCTGGGTGGGCAGATCTTTGCCTTTTTTCTGAGCCTCAGTTTCCCCAAATGTCCAAGGAGGTTAGGGTAGAGGCTTAGGATTCCTGCTTCTCTGGGATGTGAAGGACTGGGCAGAGACGGTAATGGCCTGTTCAACTCTTAGCAGATTTTGAGTAATTGAAACTTGGGAGGTCAGGAGAAATCCTCAAATTGTGTGTCCTTTTTGTCTTTTTCTGTCATGGGCCTAAGATCATGCATCAGTTGAGGAGGTGGCTTGCTGGCTTGTGGCCTCAAGCGTGGGCATATTCATTCAACAGATCTTTTCTGGGCCCAACTTTGTGCTGGTTTGGGGACTGGGCTTGGGGATCCAGCAGTGAGAAACCAGATGAGGTGATGTTCTTGTAGATGGGGAGATGGGCAGATAGCCTGAGTATACCATGGATGGACTGTGGGAGGGCCTGAAACAGAGGGCAGCTATAAGGGCTGAGGAGGTGCCTGAGTCTGTCCAGTCAAAGGAGTTTCTGGACAAAGTAGCAAGCTGAGATGGCAGGAGTGGGAATCAGCTGGGGCAGGGAAGGGACAAAAGGAAGCACCTCATCTGACCGAATTTCAGACTCCAGAACTCGCAGTTAGGACCACAGAGAGGGGACAAGACACGTGAAGAGGCGGCTGGGAGGGATGTGTCCAGTCTGTCTGGACCTGAGGATGAAGAAAGTTTTTCGCAGGCATCTGAACTGGGCTACTTGTCATTCCACAGCCAGCCCTGCAGTGGAGGAAGAGGCTGTATCCTGTGGAAAAGGACCATGGCAGGCAGGGCAGGCAGGGCAGGCAGTGCCATCGCCCCATCTCAGCTGCCTGATAGGAAGCTAGGGTGGGGTCCAGGAAGACCAGGGCTTCCCCCATTGATTCCTGACCACTGGGGATTCTCCAGGTGAGGAGGCCTGTCCCTCAGCCCTGGCTTCTTCGATGATCCTGTGGTGGGGGAGGGACAGAGGCCCTTCCTCTGATCAGCTTCCCCTTCCAGGAACCTTGGTCCTCCAGTGGGGTAGTCACTCTCTGGGATGAGGGTGGGGCTCTGGGCACTTGGGGAAGCCGGGCAAGCTGAGCACTTCTCTTTGAAAAGGGCCAGGCAGAATGAGGCTCAGCCCAGGGGACAGAGTCTGGCAGCCTACAGGGGGCTGTAATGGGAGAGGATAGCCCTTGAGTTGACAGCTGGGGCCCCAGCTGACGCCATGGCCTTAGTACTTCTCTCTGCAGCCCTCATTTTACCCCAGGCAGGGTGACCGACTATGTCACAAGAGACTGACTGTACTTCCCTTCTTTTGGTTTCCTTTTATGGCCAGGTCTGGCTGCCCCAGAAACCTTCCCTCTTCTGAGAAAGGAGCCCTCGGCTTGCTCTAGTCTTGCTAGGAGGGCTTGTCACCAGGTGTGTGGTCAACAGTCCTGCCATAGTGAACCAGACAGGCAAGAGAGAAAGGAAAGGTGGAGGATGGTGGCCCACCTCCTCTGAAGACAGGGACTTCTTCTTCCCTAGCTCATGTTGTCCTATGGCTTGGGGTTGTTCTCCAAGCTCTTTCCTCCTCCAGGCCTTGGTCCTGGTTCTTCTGTCTCCTGTCCAAACTATGCCTTCCTCCTCAGACCCCTCCATTCCACTATGTCACTGTGCCGAGCATTCCACCTGGAGAACATGGCCATGGAGCTGCTGCTTCCCCAGGGCCTGACCTTAACCTTATGGTTCTTCCCTCCCCACTCCCTAGCACCCTACTGCTGCCCTGTGTCCCTTCTCCGCA